TTTCCTTTCCTTTCCTTTCCTTTCCTTTCCTTTCCTTTCCTTTCCTTTCCTTTCCTTTCCTTTCCTTTCCTTTCCTTTCCTTTCTTTCCTTTTTCCTTTTCCTTCCCAGAACCTTCCCAGAACTTTCCCTTTCCTTTCCCTTTTGTGATTCTGCATAAAATCATGGAATCGTAGACTCATGTTGGAAGGGACCTTAAAAAGCATCACACCATAGACAAGGAATAAAATTATAAAATCACCAGGAGAGAGAGAGTTGAAGAAATAGCCTCATAGCAGTCCCTTCCAAAAAGATATTGGGGTTTTTTTCCTCCTTCTTTTTTTGTTGTTTTTTTTTTTTTAATTTTAAAATTATCATTTTTGCAGTGCTTGTGGGATGAATGCACTGTATAAATACAAAATGCTCTAGCTGGAATAGACGAAGTACAGGCAGATCACCAGAATGCTCAAACTCCCTTTATTCTTGCAACAGGATCACAAAGACTTCTATTGCAGCCTTCCAAAAATAGGCCTGTATCAACCTAGAAGAAAGTTTGTGAAAAACAAGCTTTTAGAAGAATCAGATTGTATAGGAGGAGAAGAAAACTTCTATGAAACAAGACAGCTTTCCAGCCTCCCACTCTTCCACTCTTCCTACAGAAAATGCTGGCCCTCTAAAGCTGCTTGCAAAAATAAAAATTTCTGGAGGTGTGGTTGTAATTTTAAAATTTTATGGCCCCTATGAGAAATTTGAATATTTCTTTGGTACTCTGTACTGCATAGCCCAGTGATTTTGATTATAAGGTGCTCTACTTTTTTCTCCCTTTTTATGCAGTGTTGTATCTGTGTACATCTACCAGAAATGTGAGGAACGAAAGAAGCCTGTAAGAGAGAAGCTAACTTTCAGCTAGAATTTCCATGGATTTAGGCTGATGAGGTACCTTAAAGAAGGCCTAAATAACCTCTAAATAACCTGCCACAATTCACAAACTCTTAGTTTTTTTAAGATGATGGTTACCCTGCTCTTCTGTGATTAGCAGACACGATTTGCAAGGGCTCTATTCATTCAAAACAATCTGCAACCTTTGATGTCAAAGAAGCTGTGGAGTGCCTGACTGCAAGCTGCAGAGGGTCACAGATCTCTGCTCTGCACACAGCCTTATCTATTCATCAGAAATTCATCCCGGCCATGGAAACTTTTTCATTTTCACTGCACGGGCCTCAGAAAGCCAAATGGCATGGGAAATTTAATGTAAGTCAGTCTCACATTCCCTGACCATGAATGTGAAAAAATTAATCCTCTGCAGCTAAATACTTTTGTAGTCATTTGGTATAAAAGGCAATGGTCTGTCACTTATATCCTACACTAAACCAGTAATGAAATCTTGAAAGAGGAGGCGGGGGGTGGAGGAGGCAGTAGTTTCACTGCCACAGTGAAGCCAAAATTAAGCCATTGCTTTACTACTCTAAAGCAATCTGGGAGGTTGCATAATTGAATGCACAGTGTTATTCCCAGTAGCACAGGATGCAAGCAGACCCTCAGAAGTCAGGTGAGATAGCAGATGTTTTCAGTGACATCTGCAGAGCTTTTGCCTTTGCTTCTGTTTAAGCATTTCCACCACTCACTGGAGTTCTGCAGCAATATTTAACATTTGTGTTCTTTTCCTTTGGTCTTACGCCCCAAACTTTGTCATAATAACATTAAAAGGAAGTGAAACCTCAAGGGCCTCCATCAGACACACAAAACCAACACTTGATTATGATGCCTCTTCTTGCTTTATAAGCTCTTTGGGGAAGACAGATCAGGAGAAGGTCAAATTGTAGAACCACAGATTGGTTTGAGTTGGAAGGGACCTTAAAGATCACCTGGTCCAACCTGCCTGCCATGAGCTGGTACATCTTTCATTATGTTGCTCAAAGTCCATCCAACATGGCCTTGAACACTTCCAGGGATGGAGCACCCACAGCTTCTCTGGGCAACCTTTGCCACCCTCACAGTGAAGAACTTCTTCCTAACATCTGACCTAAACTTGCTGTCAGTCAGTTTGAAACAATCACTCTTGTCCTGTCACCACATGCCCTTTTCAAAATTCACTCTTCAGTTCTCTTTAGCTACTGGAAGGGGCTCTAAGATTCCCTTGGAGTTTTCTTTTCTCCAGGCTTAACAGCTCCCTCAGGATGATTCCATGGCTAAGGTATTCCAGCCCCCTAAGAATCCTCATGGCATCCTCTGACCTCCCTCCAGACAAAAGAAACAGATGACAAATGCAGATGTTACAGAGGTCTTCCAGTTGCAAATATATACAGTAAATACAAAAATGATATGAGAAAAAGTTTAATACATCAGTGGTAGGAAATTGGAGCATATGAGCAGTGATATCTCTGTGACTGCTGCTTTATAAGGCACACTAATGATGACTGTCCATAGCATTCATGACACGAATTATGTCTATAAATGGTCACGAACATCAAAAGGAATGGGATCTTGTAAATACTATGCACTTCATAATATAAGAAATAAATAAGCTGAGAAAATACTTGATGAAAAATAGTAAATCATTTTCATCCTTTTAATTTTAAAAAGAGAAATATTTTGTTGCTCTTATGAAATAGGGGAGGTTAGCTTCTGATGAAAAATCTAAATGTTTTTTAAAATTCACAAATATCAGAAACATTTATCAAAAGAATTCTTGTTTCTGATAAATATTAAAGTGTGCAAGGCAGAACCACAGAGAACAGTAAATACTTTATAGCTGGCACTTTGTCAAAACTGTAAGTGGTTCTGCCTTTGAATTTTACATCATCACTAAATTTACAGTCATTTTATAAGTGGCACAAGACAAGAATTACTTCTTTCTAAATCTAAACCAAGCAATAAATCTAACATCAGGATTCCTCTTATTGTCCGTTATCATCTGATGACAATGCCTTTTACCGTTCATTGTCTTGACAGAAATATGATATGTAAAATCATGATGTCACATCACTCACTATGATTTAACACTCACCAGCCCATACCATTTTAATCAATCAACATTGTCGCTTTTTAGTGTAATGATTTTCTGGTGGATTCCTTGTGATTAATATGATGTATATGTCTTATCAGGAGTTGATTTACTATTTCATTTTGGAGCCGAACAGCTTGGAAGGCCATTCTTGCCTCCTTCAGACACCACTGGAATTGGAAAACAAGCATTGTTTCAAGTACTACTCAAGAACTAATTGTGGAAATTAACTGGAAGATATGAAATTACTTTTATCACAAGCTTGGTGCTTGTGGAAAAGAAAGACAGGAAAATGCCGTGAAATAAAGGAACTAAGCAGTACAGCACAAGGAGGAGCATTTTTTTTTTATCTTCACTGTACCGATATGGACACAGGTATCCCTAATTTGACAATGTGATTGCTGAGTTCCAAAGTTTGGTTTTAAAACATACTGAACTGTGCAGAAGGTTTCTCTGAGGAAAGGAGCTCTTTCCATTATGTTTCTCTGGATATTATATAGTCTTTTTTATTTACTGTTTACAGAAGGCTACTGCATTTATTTCTCAGACAATTTCAAGAAAAATAATTTTTGCTTGTAAAGCACTCTCAAACACAATCCAGTATATGCCTGGAATAACCCACCTACATTCGAGCATGTCTTTACATTAGGCTGTAGCAAAGCACAATTGTTTAGAGCTGTCAAAGAATACTAAAACAACAAGTTTAACAGGAAAATTTTGCTTTTACATTCTACTGCAGAATACTGAGAAGTCTATACACTCGTGCATGGAAAAATACACATGTTCAGGTAACAAAGGAACGACTGGAAACTGTTATATTTCAGAGTAACAAGTTCCTTTTAAGAGTCCTCAGTCAGTTAATGTTTGACAACCCGTAAGATGTAAAATTTCAAGTTACAAAATCAACCTAACCTCACTAAATATAACACTTTTCATTCTTCAGGACCAATTAGCCCTCTCTTAGTGACAGATAAAGAAACAAAGGTAAGATAAATGGTGAAACAAATAGTCTTCATGGGGAAAATTGACATTTAAGTTGCATCACAGATCATACAGCTAACTGAGAAGACATGAAGGCTCTTTCATCAGTTTATAAGTGGGTAAATTCTAAATATCCTACTGAAGATCAGAGAAATTGAAACATTGAAAAAAAGAACAAAAATATTTAGGAATCTTTTTACCATAAAGCTCATTTTTTCACAATAAGAAAGCATGTAAAATGACATATTCAGTGTACTTTTAATTGTTTAAGAAATTCTTCTTTCTTCTCAACATAAAATATGACCTACTCAGATTAGGACATTGGAAACTTGTAGAACAGTAACCAAAAAGCAATAATCTGCCAGTAAAGTCCCAGCTATGCCTTTTCAGGGCAATGCTGAAATTTTATTTACTTTTACTGTAAATCTCTACTTTTACAGTGTTTGGAGGCAACTGAATTCCTTCATAAATCCTTCC